ACTTGATAATACTTTGAATCAATTGCTATATGTCATGGATTAACTAAAGATCCAACCACTCATGATTATATGTTGGTTTTGCATTATTATGATAGTGATTTAAGAGATTTTATAAAAGACAATTATCACGCGCTTACATTATTAAAAAAATATAAAATTAATTATGAAATAACCTATGGCTTAAGTGGTATTCATCATCAAAACATAATGCATAGAGATTTGCATTCAGTAAATATTTTACGTAATGCACTTACTTTACGATGGTTTATTAGTGGTTTAAGATTGGACAAACCATTAATTCGTGATTCGCGATAAACGGAAAGAATATCACAACTATCTTATAAAAGTCCCTTTCTCTATTAATATCATAAAAAGCAATGGTTCATATTTAAATATATTTTTAGTTTCAAAGGAGGACATCAATATAATAAAGAGATAGGCCTTCTTTTTACGATTAAAAAATTATTTTTATATATATTTCCAAAATCTATTATATAAATCCTTTCCGTTTCTAGTGAATCACGAAATTACAAATTAAATAGTATATATAATAATCTCCCATATGTTGTACCTGAAGTTTATTGTGAAAAATTTATACAAAAAAATCAGATATATAGTATTGGTATTTTAATGTGAGAAATAATAACTGGTAAAATTCCCCATGGTGACCGTGAACATGATTTAGATTTAGCTTTTGCTATAGTCAAAGGATAACGACCAAAGATTGGTGAAGATATTCCACTAGAATATTCGGGATGCTAATCCTGGCAATAGACCTGATGAAAATAAAATATTCATTAAAAGAAATTATTAAATTATATGAAGATATGGACAAACAACAAGAACAAACTATTCAATCTAAAAATTTCAAATAAAAAATCAAAAATTTCTTTAAATATTCTACGAAAAATGAAGGTAATCAAGTAATTAACGATACTCAATATACTCAATCTAGTGAAAATAATAAAAAAAAGAAAAATCCGTAAAATTCAAACCAGTAAAGTACATACATTTAATTTTTTATTAATTTTATTTTAATATTTATTAATTATTTTTTATTATCTTTATTGAAGAACAACATGGTAAGTTAACTTATTTATATGCGTTATCTTCAAAATAATTCAACAAAAGAATATGCTATAATTACGCATAATTAAAGAGATTGATTAGATTTTTGCTTTAATAATGACGATCCAATATTTTATGTTTAAGAAATTGATAGAATTATTTCATATATTTTCAAGTTATACGCAGCCACATGCTACATTGGGTATTTACTTAAAATTATGGTAATATAGTTAATAATGATGTTGAAAATATGATATCATTTAGTTTCGAGGTTTAAAGAGGTTTAAAGGTATTGTATAAGAATAATAAACGACTAGTAAAGAACATGCAAAAATAATGAATTAGTAAGAATTTTCGGACATTCATCCGGCATGAATTCGAATTTCATGGCGTTTTTTTAATAAAGTTACTTTTTGACTTACTACATCTTGCTTATATAAAAATTTTTGTAAGTGTACATCGAAAAATGCTTGTCGTGATGTTAAAAAATGCTATGCTATTGCAATATTAGTTCAGATGAGTTGAATGTCATCAAAGTCTCAGGCATGAGCATACAATAATCCAACTTTAGAAAAATTTTTTATTATTATTAATCGGGTTTAGATTAATTACAAATAAATTTTTAAAGGAACTTTCGTATAATATATTCATAATATTTTTCATTTGTAAGATTTGTAATATTTGTATAATTATTTTATTAAGGTCCTCGCTTTCTAGTACACTTATTATATTTATTGATATGACAAAATAATTAATTCGAAGATTATGATTCTTTTTCTTTACGATTTAATTCATGAATCTATATACATATATTTAGAATGGTAATGTAGGAAGATAAAGATCTATAAAATGAAAAAATGTTTGGATGCAATAATGTAATGTGATGCATAACAACGTGCTTGATAACGAGTCAAGCATAATTTCTTTTCGCTATTACCTTACACTGGCAATCAAAAGTATTGTATCACTGACTTCTTTTTGCCTTTAAAAAATTCTGCCTCCTGAACGATTGAGTTTAGAACAGTTACTATACTCATTTTAGTCTTTAAGTTTTGGAGAATTTTTTAAATTTTATTTTTGTGCCAAATTAGTAATGCTGATTTTTCGCAAATGGGTGATCGACATCAACTTGGTAAAATTTCATCATACGGTAAATCATCCTTCCGAGGAGAATTGATATACCAAATTTCGTGACGATCGGGCTGGTGGTTGCTGCGTAATTCACTCTCAAAAATTGAAATTTTACATATAAATATTTCAAGTGAATTACGCAGCAACCACCAGCCCGATTGTCACGAAATTTGGTATATCAATTTTCCTTGGGAGGGATGATCAACCCTATGATGATCGTCCTGTAGCTGTGCCATAAAAAATTTTGTTCAATGATCAAAGTGCCAGTTGTTGATGTCGGTCACCCATTTGCGAAAAATCGGCATTATTAATTTGGTACAAAAAAAATTTTAAAAAATTCTCCAAAACTTAAAGACTAAAATGAGTATAGTAACTATTGTTCTAAACTCAATCGTTCAGGAGGCAGAATTTTTTAAAGGCAAAAGTCAGGTGATGCAATGCTTTAAACATCAGTAAATTTTTTTTAAGCGTAAATTTTCGAAATATTAGGTAAATATTACGGAAATTTACATCTAAAAAAATCCGTTTTTGACTTCACTCGCGATTCATGTGACAGAGAGCGATTTTCTACTAAGATATTTTAAGATGGATCGAAAGTCCTGATTCCTGGCTACATGCTGATATGCGTTTTATTATTATAGCATCGATATTCATTGAAATATTCACGTTTAAATTCGGACGTCCGTGAAAATTTTCAACAAAAAATTTTTCGTGTCATAATATTACATACTGTATATTACGAAAATTTTTTCGCGAAATTTTTCACGGACGTCCGAATTTAAACGTGAATATCTCGCTGAATAACGAAGTTACAGGAATGAATCATATATTGACATGTAGCCAGGATCTATCCATCTTAGAAATACTTTAGTAGAAAATTACTCCCTGTTACGTAAATCACGAGCGAATTCAAAAAACGGATTTTTTTGTAAATGGTGTAAGTTACGTAATATTACGCCTAAAAAAGATTCTGATGAAGGTCAAACGTTCAAAAGTTTCACAGGGAGTGAAACAAAAAAAACAAAAAAACAATAAAAATGAGAAATTAAATGTATAAATCCTTTATTTAATCTTATATAAATAAAAATCTAAACTTTATTATCAAGCATTATTTGTTTTTACATATAAATGTACTTTCCATTAAACGTTAAGTAATATTTTCTTATGTTTTTTATCTAGTTATAATAAAGTGATTACTGATTGCTTTCTTCTATATCGCCAATATTCTTTGTTTTATAAATAATGAATACCGATTTTGCTCTCGGGTTCAAATATAAATTTTTACTTAAAAGAGGTTAGTCGTGTAATTGCTTGCTTAATTTAGGAATCAGTTACTAACCGGTATTTATAACAATGGAAGAGATCGATAGAAATTTTATTAGAATTCTAAAAAATTGCTGTTATTTTCGTGTTTACTTAAACTTCTAATAAATTGAAAACGTTACGTTATTGTAATATCTTACTATCTACCATGATTAATTGCAACATTATCACAGATTTTTTTTAATCATATTAAAATTTATACGTCAATATAATTTAAATATTATTTACTTAGTACGTCATTTAACAACTTTCTGCGCAAATTTATACATAAAAAATAATCAATTTAAATAATAAATAAATAACTAATTCACGGTAATTTTATATTTGCAATTAAATTATCAAACAATAAATTATATATAATTGATTATCTATTTCTTCATTAAATTATATTAAATTTGAATGAAATACTTAAGGTAAAGGAAAGAATTAAAAGTTTTGGTGTATATTCTTTCATTTGCTTATTTATAAACGCAGAAAATTTTGTACGAATCATAATTTTTTCCGATAATCAGACAATGTTAATTTTGTGAAATAGAACGGCGAAGCAATAGAAATTATACTCTTTAAGTTACATAAATTCTGCGCCATTAAATAAGCACATATGCGTACTCGTTCTACGTACGATTGTTAAGGTCAAACAATAAACGGATACCTTTTTAATTGAAATAGCTCTTAAATTAGAGAAATAAATATATGCGTTATTATCAAATTATTCTAAAAATAAAAATATATGTTATTAGTACATTTGAACTATGCCGGAAATATAATTGCCGAAAATAATTTTGACTGCCTTAATTATTTTCGGTCGTAATCAGCTATAAGCCGAAATTTTTGCTGCCAACAAAAGTTTTCGAAATTTTTTGTCGTTTTTTACATTTTTTTGACTTTGCTCGCGATTTATGAAGCATGCAGCAATTTCCTACTAATATATTTCTATTATAGATCGAAGGGCCTTGTTCTTGGCTACAAATTGGTATATATTTCATCTCTGTAGCACTGAGTTATTACAGTTAAAGTCAAAAAAATCTTAACGGACGTTTTACTTTTAACTGCTTTGTACCAATAACAAGACCTTTCGATCTATTATAGAAAATTTTAGTAGAAAATCGTTCTATATTTCGCAAATCGTGAGCGAAGTCAAAAAAAATAGAGAAAACTTTTGTTGGCAGCAAAATAATTAAATAATTATGGAAGCCTTAAATATTTTCGGCATTTCGGCCGTAATTCTGGCTAATTTCGGCAACATGCACTGTATGCATTGAATGCTCCCCCAAAAAAGTAAATGGCAAAATAGCGTGATTTTGAAACAGGAAAACAATTCTATAATGATATTTAGATGTTTCATATTTTGAAAATTACTCTGATGTCATTATTAAACTAATATACATTTTAATTTATATAATATAGTGTTTTATATGTTCACAATAAATAAATCATATAAGGGGATATCAAAAACTCTTTATACACATTATGCAAAAATGTGGTTATGGGCAAAACTTGTGAATGGGTGTGCATAAAAGGGGCTTCACGTTATTTTAAGATCGACTGAACAGGACTTCGGCTAATCAGTTTCTCAGTTACGATGGCCGTGCCGTAAATTGTAATTAATTTTAGCAAACTCCCTCATGTACTTTTTTTTTATAAATTTTGTATTTATTTTAACAATAAATAAACATTTTGGAGTAAGGCTTCGTTGGATAAAAAAAAAATAAAATAAAATAAAATAAATAAATAAACCAGAGGCTTTAGCTAAGCTAATTATAAAGGAATGCGTTGAAAAAAATATAATCATCTCTCAGACTATCGTAACCAGAACTAACGAAACTGATTTTTTTTTGGAAAAATATTTAAGAGAATTATAGATATAGATAATGCATATTTTTTTTAAAAAAAAACCAACGGAGCCTCACTCCAGGATGTTTATTATATTGTTAAAATAAATATACAATTTATAAAGCAATTAATTACATAAAAGAACTAAAAAGTAAATCTGGGAGACTGATTAGTCAAGACCCTGTCAGTAGCGCCTTATGCTAATTCCTTTTAAGGAAACTATAGATAAATGTATGAACTTTGAAATTTGGTAAATTTAATGAAAAAGGAAAATATGTTGTGATTGCATTCTATAGCAAAGAAATAAGGTAATAAGGAAATTCTCTGGAAATAATTTATTTTTATTCCGCAAATATATTATATATATATAAGCATATTTTAATATTAACCCGGCATTTAAAATACACGCTAAAATCTTAATTTTATCTCCTCTCCAAAATTATAAAATTATATTAAATTTGAATGAAATAGGAAATGACTACTCAAAAAATTGTTTGGAATGAGAAATTACACAGTGTTTGGGATAAAACTTACTTATCTTTGAATTCTAATATTCATAAAACAATTACTCAACAGGAAAAACATCGAAAAAAAAAGATTAGAAAAGATTCATCTCTCACAAAAAATGAAAAGAAATTTTTACTTGATGAATTACAGAAAGTATATGATAAATTAAGAATTGATGGAAATTCAGTAAAAAAACAACAATGCGACAATTGTCAAAATTTGCGTCAAGCAACCCAATACTGTGAATTTTGTATTCGTAAATATCTAGAAAATAATTTTAGAAATTGGAGATCAGGAAATGAAGAAATTGACAAATTAATTCAAGAATGTCAACAAAAAACTGTTTCACCCCAATATGTCATTGAATGGATTAATTATGATCAATTTGAGAATATAGAATATCTGACTGAAGGGGGATGTGCTACCATTTATACAACAATTTGGAAAGATGGATGCTATGATAAATGGAACTCAGAAAAAAAAATATTAGAAAGACTTGGAAAACAAAAGGTTATTCTTAAAAGATTAAATAATTCGAATAGTGATAATATACATTGGTTCCGAGAAGTAAGTTTAATTACAATTATAATTTCTGTTCAATATTTTATAAATATTAATTATATGACTGTATACAATTATTAGGTGACATTAAGTTTCACACTTGATAATACTTTTGAATCACTTGCTATATGTCATGGATTAACTAAAGATCCAACCACTCATGATTATATGTTGGTTTTGCATTATTATGATAGTGATTTAAGAGATTTTATAAAAGACAATTATCGCGCGCTTACATTATTAAAAAAATATAAAATTATTTATGAGATAACCCATGGCTTAAGTGGTATTCATCGTCAAAATATAATGCATAGAGATTTGCATTCAGGAAATATTTTATATAATGCACTTACTTCACGATGGTATATTAGTGATTTAGGATTAAGTGGGCCAGTTGACAAACAATCAAACAGTATATATGGGAATCTCCCATATGTTGCACCTGAAGTTTATTGTGGACAAATTTATACAACAAAATCAGATATATATAGTATTGGTATTTTAATGTGGGAAATAATAACTGGTGAAACTCCTTATGAAGACCATAAATATGAACATGATTTAGATTTAGCTTTAGCTATAGTCAAAGGATATCGACCAAAGATCTATAAAAATATTCCACCAAAATATGTAACTTTAATGAAACTATGTTGGGATGCTAATCCTGATAATAGACCTGAAGCAAATAAAATATTCATTAAAATGAAATTATTAATAAATTCATTATATGAAGACATGGATAAACAACAAAAACGAACCATTCAATCTAAAAATTTCAAATCAAAAATCGAAAATTTCTTTAAACGTTTTACAAAAAATGAAGTCAAACAAGTAATTAAAGATACTCAATCCAACGAAAACAAATTAAGCAAAAATACTCAATCCAACGAAAACAAAGGAAAAAAAACTCATAAAATTAAAACCAGTAAAGTGCATACATTTAATTTTTCCATTGAACCGAAGAATACCACTGATGGTAAACATATTATCCTTTTTTATTGATTTTATTTTTATATTTATTAATTATTTTTTATCAATTTTTATCATCTTTATAGAAGAACAACATGGTAAGTTAACCTATTAATATCTAATGAAATCTTTATTTTAATCCATATTAAATTACAAATATGTTTAAATATATAGCCTATGAAACTAAACAATTTGATTTTGTAATTACTGAAGGTAAATTTCTTTTTTATATTTATTTATGTTTATGAAATTTAATTAAATTATTTTATGATAAAATTATAGAAATAGCAGAACGACATCATAAAAGTGTTGGATCAAATAAATCATGTGGTAACTAATGATTATTTCGTTATCGTTTTTTATTTCTAAATCATCATACGTTGGCATAATTTATTTTTCATTTTAGTTGATCAAGAATGTGGGGTTGCTGGTCCTTCAAATTCAAGTTCACAATGTAAAGGAGGGGTGGACCAAATTATGTGATTTTCAATTAAAATCATATAAAGACCAGTGAGCACCTGATCATTATGAAATCTCAAAATCCACCTTTTGCTACGGGCGTCCCCATATGCTGTATTTTCATAATTTAAAGTTTAGCAAGATATAAAAAAAAAATTAAATTATTAAAATATTAATTAATAGTAATTTTTATTAGTTTTTACTTTAAATATACGTAAATTTAGTGTCGAACATTTTTGTTTAGGGGTTGAAAGGTAGTTGCCATAAGCTTTTTTTAGGTTGGTAGTTTAATTTTTGTCGCTGATTGAGAAAACAATAGATGTAATGAATGATACAAAATAATGAAAGAATAACCAATATTTGGAATTTCAGGTAAAATTATAATAATACGTAAATTTACGCAAATATTCAGGTAAAATTATAATAATACGTAAATTTACACAAATATACGCAAATCTACGTAGGACAGCAATATTACGGTTTAATTTCTGAATGTTGATATTGACATTGAATTAACGACACATTCTCGAGATTTTCAAGAATTAGTGCGACTGATCCCATTAAATGAAACGAAAGATGCTCCTATCGAAGAAGCAATGCATAATTTTTATTAATAAAAGAGAACCTTGTTAATTACCATTGGTAGACTATCTTTTTTTTTTTTTTTAATATACCAAAGTCTGCTATTATCATTATCCCTTGATGTACCGAGATATTCTTAGGATTCTATAAAAATAATTTTAAGTTATCATATTTTTAAAAAATTTGAATTCATTTGTAATTTTACAAATGATTAGGTTTCCGCAAAGTCGGATCGGATCGGATTTTATCAATATTCGGATCTGATCCGATATTCAAACTCCCCAATCCGGATCGATCCGAATACAATCCGAATATTTTTATGAATTTATCTCCCTTTTCCCCGCTCCCCTCTTTCTCTTTTCCTCGGATCAACGAATCAATCCGAATACTTTTTAGATTGATCCGAATCCTTTTCGGATTTTTAATTCGATCCGGATCCGGATCCGGATCCGGATCTGTAACAGTATGATTCAATCCGGATCCGTAACAGTATGATCTGCGGATAAGATTTGCGGAACCCTATCTTTAAAGTATCAGTATATAAAAGGTGGTCCTTGCACAATTTCTTTTGCAATTCGTATTTTATCATTCGATGGGAGCTTTTCAAAGTTATTAACCAAATAATCTTGTATTGATGAATTAAGAAATAACACCTGGTATTGTCATCTTTTGCTACTCCGTAGAATTTATTAATATCTGGATGAAAATGCTCCCTGGCCTTACATAAAACTTTAAGCTAATTGTTTTTACAAATTATGTATAAATAATCGATATATGGCCTTGGGAATAATTATCTTATACAGTCGAATATACAGTATTCTTTAATTTTATGAATACGTTAAACTGATAATATACATATACAGATCACATGATTATGCATATTCCATTGTCGGTTAAATCTTCATAGTAAAGGTTGATTTCGTACTCGTAATGAGTTCATTTCGAATTTGTGGAAAATGGTATTCACAAAATGTAAAGAATTTATTTTATTTACAATGCGTAATGGTACAATGAATAAAATTGTGCTACTCTAAAAACTCAAAATTTGAGTAACGTACATATTTAAACTTAAATGCAACAAAAATTCTGCAATTCAAGTGGACGAGATGTAATCTGAAAGTAATTTATAGATAATTACACTCCATTGAAAACATTCCAAATTTGTAAAAAGATGTTAATAGATTAGTTCTTGAATAATTTCACATGATTATCCATTTATATTTTGATTAAAAAAAATCCTTTATTGTTAATATTGTAATACTATTTAACGATCGCTTGCGTTGTACACTTGTACCATTGTAAATCTGTTCGTCTCTCAAGTTCGTAAAAAACGAATTCCTTTTTCTTTTTTTGAATTATTAGTTATAATAATGACAATGAGCTCAGAAGATTTGATAGAACAGACTGTTCGAAAAAGCAAAATAAATTTTCGTGATTTGACAGAATTCACTATTTCTCAAACAATTGGTAAGGGTAGATGTGGAATAGTAGTAAAAGCTTATTAGAAAAAAAAGAGTTAACGGTTTCTCTAAAGGGCTTATATATTGGAAAAGAATATTAAAGAATTTGACAAAGAGGGTAGTATTATGAAGACTGCATACTGAATGTTTTCCTTTGCTTACGTAATATGCAAGCTATGATATTTGTGATATTTGTGCGTGGTCAATTTGCACTATCATCCAAATATTAATAAATTCTGCGGGGTAACCAAGGAATAATGTTATTGAGCTCTATTTCTCTACGGTAGTAACTTACGCTGATGGTACATCAAGTGACAATGATGATAGTAGACTTGGTATATCAAAACAAGAAGAAGATTTATTATTGTCCATCAATACATCTCAAGGAACGCCTGCTTTCATAGATCCAAAATATTTGGAGACAGCAACTATAACAAGATGATTTACAGTTTTGGAGTCATTCTTTGGGAAATACCAAGTGGAAAACCTGATGGAATTTGAAATGATCATTCAAATTTAAGGGAAACCCCAGTAAAAGATACGCCGGAAGATTATGTTAGCTTGTATCAACGTTGTTGGGATGCTGACCTAGTAAAAGGCCCACTATCAGGAAGCCTTTTATGAGCTCGAGAAATTAATGGAGAAATTAACAGATGATACAGATGAAGTTGGAGTTGATGCGTCGGGTTCTGACTCTAGTAACCAATCTGGTTCCATTATGATTACTTTATCCCCTCTCTACCAGATATTATAAATCAATCAGACATAATAAAATCGAAACATTTCACACTTATTTCTCACCGGATTAATCAAAGGCGCAAAAGTACTTTAGGTAGTTTAAAACATTTTGCGAAACCAGACGTGACAATATTCTTTACAAGCTTAAAACTACTTGCTAGAGGAAGTCGCGATGGATTTTATACCAACAGTCTTTCATGAAAATGTGACCACGAAGAAGTAACTTTAACTATATTAAGGTCAAAGATACCGGCGAAATTTTAGGGGGCTATAATCATCCCCACCTGAATTAAGATATTATTATACAATCAAAAGTTTTATTTTTAGTTTGATTATGATAGACTAGGGAATTCAATATTTAGCGGGGCAAGATTTCACGAATCAATTAGATCAGGGGAATATTATTGACCATATTTTCAAGATGATTTATGTATGAAAGGAAATTTTAAAAATGAATCTAGATGTTTATGCTATAAATGGTATTATGAAAGATAAATTAGACCAAAAGAACACTTTGAATGATATTTTTCAATTGATAAATATGGTTTTTCAAATCACAAATTTAGAATATTATTAAATATTACTCTCCATTTAAATTTATTTAAATTTGATTGTATAAAATATTTATTGGTGCAGACACTTGATGAATGAATGAATTTTATCGAATATATGTATATTTTCATTAAATTATAATTAAATAACGAGTCTAGCCATAAATAGATAACTAACATGTATCGATAATATTTAATTATATATAAATTTTTTTAAGATTAGCATTTAAATTTTTGAACAATATAAAATTTGTTGAAAAATAAAAAAAAGTTTCGCTATTAATAAATGCCTGCCAATTAAGTATATTAGGTTGATGTCACATGAAAGTAGAAAGTAACTTAACATCCATGTGAAATTTGGTTGCCATATTTTGGGGTATTTCGAAAAAGAGATTACCGTTTTAATTTTTTTTCGCTAAGCATGTACATATTAGGTAACGTCTGTAAATAAATATCATAAATCTTTATAAACAGATTAAAATTTTTCTTGACATTTTTTTTTTTTATCATTTCTTGATTAAATAAAAAACCCCATTTTTTTAATTTGTAATCGGCATCAAAGAGCCCATTTTGAATTTATCATTGTTGAATTATTATTATTAAACTGCCCAAGTTTAAAGCCAATAGTTTTTCGTAAAAAAAAAAAAAAAGAGATGAATCATGAGTAAAAATATTGAACAATTCATTGGTTAGTTTTCTTTTATTAATTATTTGGAATTGTAAATATATATATATACATATATATATAAAAACAAATGATTCTTTTTCTTATCATCCAATTTTAATTTTAAAAAAGGAGGTAACAATTTACAAACAGCTCCACGAGGAAATGTCCGAAATTTTGTCGAGCAACATGGGGGTCATTCAGTTATCACGAAAATTTTAATAGCTAACAACGGGATTGCCGCAGTAAAAGAAATTCGTTCTATAAGAAAATGGGCTTACGAAATATTTGGAGATGAGCGAGCTATCCAATTCACAGTCATGGCTACTCCCGAAGATTTGAAAATCAATGCAGAGTATATTCGAATGGCTGATCAATATATTGAAGTTCCCGGTGGTTCTAATAATAATAATTATGCCAACGTTTCTTTGATCGTTGACATAGCAGAGCGAACTGGTGTTCATGCTGTATGGGCAGGATGGTAAATACTCAATAAGATTTTATTCATTTATTTTTTTTTACAATATTATATTTTGAGATTAATTTTATTTAGGGGACATGCTTCGGAAAATCCAAAATTACCAGAAAAATTAGCACAAGGTAAAAATAAGATCGTCTTCATAGGACCTCCAGGTTCTGCGATGAGATCTTTAGGTGATAAAATATCTTCAACAATAGTTGCTCAATCAGCTAATGTACCAACAATGGAATGGAGTGGAAGTGGAATTACTAAGACAGATTTCGATGAATATGGTCGTGTGATCGTACCTGAACAAACTTATGAAGAGGCGTGTATTAAGGATTCTGATGATGGCTTAGAAAAAGCTAAAATTATAGGATTTCCAGTGATGATAAAAGCTTCCGAAGGTGGGGGTGGTAAAGGAATACGTAAAGTAGAAAATTCTGAAAACTTTAAGCAAGCATTCGCTCAAGTTAAGGGTGAAGTTCCTGGATCCCCCATATTCATTATGAAACTTGCTGGAAATGCTCGTCACTTAGAAGTACAAGTAATCGCAGATCAATATGGAAATGCCATATCATTATTTGGTAGGGATTGTTCAGTGCAAAGAAGGCATCAAAAAATTATTGAAGAAGCACCAGTGACTATTGCAAACGATGAAACATTTGAGGCAATGGAAAAGGCGGCTGTCAGATTAGCTAAACTAGTTGATTATGTTAGCGCAGGCACTGTTGAATATTTATTTGATAGTAACGAAAATTCTTTCAGCTTTTTGGAACTTAATCCAAGATTACAAGTAGAACATCCCACTACTGAAATGGTTTCTGGTGTGAATTTACCAGCAGCTCAATTACAAATTGCCATGGGTATTCCACTTCATAGAATCCGAGATATAAGGGTTCTCTATGGATTAGCTCCCAATGGAACATCAGAAATTGATTTTGATTTTTCAAACCCAGAATCGTTACAAACTCAGAGAAAACCGGCACCAAAAGGACATGTAATTGCCGTAAGAATCACAGCAGAGAATCCTGATGCCGGCTTTAAACCTAGTAGTGGTATGATGCACGAACTTAATTTTCGAAGTAGTACAAATGTTTGGGGTTACTTTTCGGTGAATTCTGCTGGTGGTCTTCATGAATTTGCCGATTCTCAATTTGGACATATTTTTTCCTACGGAGAGAATCGTCAAGAATCGCGTAAGAACATGGTTATTGCTTTAAAAGAACTTTCAATCAGAGGCGATTTTCGTACAACTGTTGAATATCTAATTAAATTACTTGAGACAAAAGCATTTGAAGATAATAGTTTCACCACTTGTTGGTTGGATATGTTAATATCAGAAGTAAATTTAACGGCCGAGAAACCTGATAAGATGTTAGCTATTATTTGTGGTGCAGTAACTAAAGCCTACACTGCTTCCCAAGAATCTATCTCAGAATATAGACGCTTTTTAGAAAAAGGTCAAATTCCCAGCAAAGATGTTTTACGAACGGTCTTTGCGATTGATTTTATTTATGATGGAGTTCGTTACAAGTTTACCTCTACGCGCTCTGCTCCTCATTCTTTCATGTTCTATTTGAATGGATCTAAGGGTCAAGTATCCGTTCGTGCTCTTTCAGATGGTGGTCTTTTAGTTCTTTTAGATGGAAAGAGTCACACTTGTTATTATCGGGAAGAAGTTCAGGGAACTCGTCTGATGATTGATGGTAAGACATGCTTGCTTGAGCAAGAAAATGATCCGACTCAACTTCGTTCTCCATCTCCAGGAAAACTTGTAAGATTGTTGATTGAATCTGGTGATCACATTAACGGTGGAGAAGTATACGCTGAAATAGAAGTGAGGAATAATTATTATTTTATAAATTTTAATTAAATATTAATTAATATATTTATACAATAAAAAACATTTTTTTTATTAGGTGATGAAAATGTACATGCCTTTAATTGCTACGGAAGATGGTATTGTACATTTTATTAAACAAGCAAACTCCACGCTTGAGGCCGGTGACATTATAGGAATTCTTACCCTTGACGATCCAAGTCGAGTTCGTCATGCTATACCTTTTGAAGGCCAATTTCCGACTATGAATCCTCCAGTTATTATTGGTGATAAAGCTCATCAGAGATATTACGAGGTCAGAAACATTTTAGAATGCATATTGGATGGATATGATAATCAAGCTGTATTACATAGTAGTGTCAAAGAATTGATTGAACTTTTGAGAAATCAAGAGTTACCTTATTTAGAATTTCATTCCGTATTTTCAACACTTACTGGGAGGATACCATCAAAATTAGAATCAGCCATTCAAAATATCTATACAGAAAGTGAAAAAAAAGTATTAGAATTTCCTGCTGAAAATCTTAAAGATTTGATTGAAAATTATTCTCGAGATCATGTCAATTCTAATGACATTGCCAATTTTGAGGCATTAATAGAACCATTAATTGAAATTATTAACAAATACATATCTGGATTAAAATTCCGTAAATGGTCAGATATCATATACTTTTTAAATAAATATCACGAAATTGAGGTACTATTTTCAGATCAAGCAAAACGTGAAGAAGAGGTAATTCATTCTTTACGTGAAAAATATAAAGATGATTTGGATAAAGTAATTTCAATAGTCTTATCACATTCTAAAGTTGCTGCCAAGAATAATCTCATTTTATATTTACTGGATCAAATAAAGCCCGCAAATGTTGGGCAGGCTCTTGATAAATTCTTTTCTCCCGTTTTGAAAAAGTTAGCTGAACTTAGCGGAAGGCATACCGCCAAAATTTCATTGAAAGCAAGAGAATTATTGATTCATTGTCATTTACCTTCATACGAAGAAAGATATGCGCAAATGGAACAAATACTCAAAGCTGCTGTTATAGAGAGTCATTATGGTGATGATGGTTATGATTATAGAACACCAAGTTATGATTCCCTCAAGGAATTGATCGATACAAGGTTTGCTGTCTTTGATGTTTTACCAAATTTCTTTTATCATCCGGACAATTGGATCGGTCTTGCAGCATTAGAAGTCTATGCACGACGTGCATATCGTGCTTACCAGCTTTTGGACTTAGAATATCATACGGACGAAGTTCCATTCATGGTTTCTTGGAATTTCTTATTGCATAGCACCACAACCGATCCACCAACTACAAATTTTAGTATGCGACGATCCGGTTCTGTTTCAGATTTAAGTTATTTAGTTCCACGTACAAAGAATGAACCTGTTCGTGTTGGTGCTATGTTTTCTTGTAGATCTAATGGAGAAATTGAAAAAAATTTATCAAGGATTTTGAGTGTATTTCCAAAATCATCTCCACAAGATTCATCTGATACGAACGTTAATAATGTTCTCAACATTGCTTTGAGATTAGATGATGACCCAGTAGATGATGAAACTCTTAAACGAGATATACAACCTATAATTCAACGACACGCATTTGAACTTCGTGAACATGCAATCCGACGTCTTACCATAGTTCTATTTAGAAAAGGACAATATCCTGGGTATTTTACATTTCGGGAGGCTAGAGATTATCATGAAGACCAAACAATACGTCATATTGAACCTGCTATGGCTTATCAACTTGAACTCCCGAGGTTATCGAATTTTGATATAAAACCTTGCTTCACAGGAAATCGTCAAATACATGTATATTTTTCCATAGGAAAAGAAAATTCATCAGATTGTAGATTTTTTATTCGAGCCTTAGTTCGCCCGGGAAGATTACGAAGTAGTGTACGTACCGCAGATTATCTTATTTCGGAATCGGATCGACTTTTAAATGAAATTCTGGATACTTTGGAGATCGTCAGTTCTGAACATAAGAATTCAGATTGTAATCATTTATTTATTAATTTTATTCCAACATTTGTATTGGAACCACGTCAAGTTGAAGAGGCTGTAAGAGGTTTTATAGAGAGACACGGGAAACGATTGTGGAGATTACGTGTAACAGGTGCCGAAGTGAGATTTAAAGTAGAAGATCCTGCTCAAGGAAATCATTATCCTTTACGTGTAATCATTAATAACGTATCAGGTTATGTTGTTAAAGTTGAAACATATCAAGAGGTTACAACTGAAAAAAATAATATCATTCTTAAATCCATTGGAAAAACCGGGTCAATGCACCTTCAATCGATACATACTCCATATCCAACTAAAGAATGGCTTCAACCAAAACGGTATAAAGCACATTTATTGGGAACAACTTATGTTTATGATTTTCCCGAATTATTCCGTCAAGCTACCCGAACACAATGGAATCGAGCTGCACACTATAATCCGGAACTTAAATGTCCGAATGATGTATTAGAAGCAAAAGAGTTAGTTTTAGATGACAAAGATAAACTACAAGAAGTTGATCGAGCACCTGGTACTAATACTTGCGGCATGGTAGCCTGGGTTATTAAACTTTTCACTCCCGAATATCCTAAAGGTCGTAAAATTACCGTAATAGCAAATGATATTACGTTCCAAAGCGGTTCATTTGGTCCCGCGGAAGATCAATTCTTTGCTAAGGCGACTGAACTTGCTAGGGAAATGGGTATTCCTAGAATTTATTTGTCCGCTAATTCAGGAGCCAGAATTGGTTTGGCCGATGAAATTTTCGATCATTTTAAAGTTTCCTGGATAGATAAAGAAAATCCAACGAAAGGAATAAATTATTTTTACATCGATGCGGATATTTATAAACAATTAAACCAAAATGGCAGAAAATCTGTGATTGCTGAGGAAGTGATTGTAAATGAAGAATTAAGATATAAAATCACTGATATTATTGGAGTCAAAGATGGACTTGGTGTTGAGTCTCTAAAAGGATCTGGATTAATCGCTGGCGTTACATCTCGTGCCTATGAAGATATTTTTACAATCACTTTAGTTACATGTCGTTCAGTTGGTATTGGGGCATATTTGGTTCGCCTAGGTCAACGAACAATTCAGAATGAAGGACAACCTATTATACTTACTGGAGCACCTGCATTAAATAAAGTCTTAGGTCAAGAAGTATACACATCAAATCTACAACTCGGAGGCACTCAAATAATGTATAGAAATGGTGTATCACATCTCACAGCTCAAAATGATTTGGAAGGCATTACCAAGATTATTCAATGGCTTTCTTATATTCCTTCTTCGCAAAATTCCCCAGTATCCATATTTCCCAATTCCGATACCTGGGATCGAGATATTGATTATGTACCTCCCAAAGCTCCATATGATCCGCGATGGTTAATTGCTGGTAAATTTGAAAATGGAAATGATTCTAGTAGTAATTGGCTAAGTGGATTTTTTGATCGTGGATCATTCGTTGAAACGTTATCCGGATGGGCAAGGACTGTGGTAAATAAAGTCATGATAATGATAAAATGATAAAATTTAATTTTTTTTACTTATTAATTTTTTTTTATTTTATTTGTTAACTTATGATAAGGTTGTCGGTCGCGCACGACTTGGAGGAGTACCAATGGGAGTCATAGCTGTAGAGACGCGTACGGTAGAACATATAGTTCCCGCAGATCCCGCAAATGCCGAGTCTCATCAACAAATGATGATAGAAGCAGGACAAGTTTGGTATCCAAATTCGGCTTATAAAACTGCCCAAGCAATTAATGATTTTAATAAAGGTGAACAGCTTCCTCTAATTATTTTCGCAAATTGGCGAGGATTCTCTGGAGGTCAACGTGATATGTTTTTGGAGGTATTGAAATATGGATCATATATCGTTGATGCACTTACTAATTATAAACAACCCGTATTTGTTTATATTATACCTAACGGGGAACTTCGTGGAGGAGCCTGGGTAGTAATAGATCCATCAATTAATGAAAATATGATGGAAATGTATGCTGATAAAAAATCTAGGGCAGGTGTTCTCGAACCTGAAGGAGTTGTTGAAATCAAATATCGTAAACCTCAAATACTTGAAACAATGGAACGCCTAGATGAAACATATCGTAGTCTTAAGAAATCCTTGGATGATTCAACAATTTCCGAAACACAAAAATCAGAAATTAAGTTACACCTGGAAGCGCGTGAACAAGAGTTGCTTCCAGTATATTCTCAAATTGCACTCCAATTTGCGGAATTACATGATACACCAGGCAGAATGAAAGCTAAAAACACAATTCGTAAGGTATTAGAATGGAAACAAGCAAGGAGATATTTTTATTGGCGTGTAAGACTACGTTTGCATGAAGAATATATTTTTAGAAAAATTCATGAAGCCAATTCAAATCTTACGAGGAGTCAAATGAAATCATATTTAGTTGAATGGTTCCGTAATGACATGAAAATTGAATATGATTGGGAAGAATCTGATATTGAAGTTGTGAAGTGGTTTGATAAAATTCTTAGTGAAGATATGAATGATAAAAATAATGATAATTCGGAATTTACCGAGACTTTCCCTTCAATTAAGTCAAGAATTGAAAAGATTCGAGATGAAGCAATTACTAAGAATGTTATACATTTGGGAAAGAGAAATCAGAAGGCGGTATTTGAAGGGATATCAGAACTATTCAAAGATTTGAGTATTGAAGAAAAGAATGATTTACTAAAAAAATTATCTGAAACCGAATGATAAAGAAAAATATTTAATTTTAAAAATCTTAAATAATTATTTATTAATCATAATCATTATAAATTGTAAATGTAATATTTCTCAAAATTTTACTTGTATTTAGCTAATCAATATAGAAATTTTCAACTATTCTAACAATAATAAAAATTATCAAAATTTTGGCACGAATATTATTAATAACTTACAGAAATGAATTATTTAGTTTAAGAAATTTACTAGAATATCAATGTAATTTTAAAATTAATTTTGTAAGATTGGGCAATATCAATAACAAATTTAATAATAAATTAATAATTAATTTGACAATTCAATGAAGTGAAGAATAAAATAGGAGTACTTTAATAAGAATGAAGTAAAAATATATCTAATAAATATATTTATTAGAGGCAACTTACAATTTAAACATGTGGCATATATTATATCTTTATTTACAATTAATTTATTAAACAATAAATTATATATTAATTAATTGTGTATTTTTTTTTTCATTTAAATTAAATCTAATAATCTAATGGATATTTTCGGATTTAGCTTTTGCTATATCAGGATATCGACCAAAGATCTAAGAAGATATTCTACTAGAATATGCGACCTAAGAATGTCACTGATGGTATGGTAAAATGATTTTATTTTATATTTTATTATTAATTTTCATATTTATAGAAGAACAAGTATCTCTATGTGCTTAATAAAATCTATATTAAAATAATATATGTACGTGTTTTTAAATTTAGCATTTGATTCTGGTCAATATTTATTTATTAATTAATTTATGACACAACAATAGTATTTTAAAAGTATTGGAACGGATAATTTCAATAAATCGTGCGATAATTAATATTATTTCATATTATTTTAAAATTTATTTATTTATTTTTTTTTTATTTTAGCCGATGAAGAATGTGGAGTTGCTGGTCCTTCGAATTCAGACTCACGATTTCAAGATTAAAGAAAAATTTATTTTAATTATTTTTCACAATAATCACATGAATAATTAAAAGTTATGGATTATATTCTTTTGCTTGCTTATTTTGATTTTTAAAGATAACATTTTTTCTAAAAATCGGACAATGTTAAATTTGTGAAATCAAAAATTATTTCAAAAGTAGCTATTAGATTTACATATATTATCATCCAAACTATTTCAGATAAAGTTCGCTCCCATTTGTTTCTTAACTTTCTGTGATACAATTGCTAGATTTTGTACGCGCATCATTTTAAATCATGAGTGAATACACATGATTTACGGAGATGGATAAAAAAAATTGTTCGCACATTAAATTTTAAATCATGTGCGGAATATATACATGGTTTAATAGTGACTGCGTCACGAATCCCACACACTAACATTGCGTGACATATTTTAAATTTTTAAAGCATGTGCGCATTCCGCACATGATTTGAAATGTGAATTTCAAACACTGGAAATGTGTTTTCTTTTATTTTACCTTTAAGTAAAATTTAAATATTAAATTTGGTCGGTGTGACAATGCTGATTCACAAAAATAATTAAAAATCGCGCAATAATTTTCCGTTAATTCTGTTTAAATAAATATTTTAATATTTTTACATTAAAATCTTATTCTTTGTTATTATTACTCAAATAATACAATATTGTTAACATAATTTGCTCGTCAAATATTATTTTCTTGGTTATTAGTAAATAATTAAAACTCAACCCACGGTAATTTATATTATATTCTTATTTGCAATTAAAATAAATTATATATATAAATTAATTATGTATTTCTTCATTTCAATTATAATAAATTTGAATGAAATAGGAAATGACTACTCAAGAAATTGTTTGGAATGATAAATTGAAAGAGTATGGGATAAAACATACTTATCTTTAGACAAAAATATTCATAAAACAATTACTCAGCAAGAAGAATATCGAAAAAATACGATTAGAAATGATTCATCTCTCACAAAAAGTGAAAAGAAATTTTTACTTGATGAATTGCAGAAAGCATATGATAAAAGTAAAATTGGTGATAATTCAGTAGAAAAACGACAATGCAACAATTGTCGGAATTGGCATCAAGCAACCCAATACTGTGAACTTTGTATTCTTAAATATCTAGAAAATAATTTTAGAAATTGGACATCTGGAAATAATGAAATTGACAAATTAATTCAAGAATGTCAGTTAAAAACTGCTTCGCCCGGATTTGTCATTGAATGGATTAATTATGATCAATTTGAGAATGTAGAATATCTGACAGAAGGAGGATGTGCTACCATTTATACAACAATATGGAACGATGGACGCTATAATAAATGGAATTCAGAAAAACAAATATTAGAAAGACTTGGAAGACAAAAGGTTATTCTGAAAAGATTAAATAATTCAAACAGCAATAATATACATTGGTTTCAAGAAGTAAGTTTAATTATTATTATTATATTTGTTGATTTCTGTTTAATTTTCAGAAATATTAATTATCTGACTGTATATGCAATACAATTATTACGGTTACATTAAGTTTTACACTTGATAATACTTTTCAATCACTTGTTATATGTCGTGGATTAACTAAAGATCCAAGCACCCATGATTATATGTTGGTTTTGTATTATTATGAAAATGATTTAAGAAGTTTTTTAAAAGATAATTATCGTTCACTTACATTATTAAAAAAATATAAAATTATTTATGATATAACCTATTGTTTAAGTAGTATTCATAGTCGAAATATAATTCATAGAGATTTGCACTCAGGAAATATTTTATATGATGGTTCTTTGCGATGATATATTAGTGATTTAGGATTGAGTGGGCCAGTTGACAAGCCATTAAATAGTATATATGGAAATCTACCATATATTGCACCTGAAGTTTACTGTGGAAAAATTTATACAAAAAAATCAGAGATATATAGTATTGGTATTTTAATGTGGGAAGTAATAACTTGTGAAACTCCCCACGGTGAACATGATTTAGATTTAGCTTTTGCTATAGCCTCAGGATATCGACCAAAGATTGGTGAAGATATTCCACTAGAATATGCAACTTTGATGAAACAATGTTGGAATGCTAATCCTGATAATAGACCTGATGCAAATATATTATTTGATAAAATGAAATTATTAATAAAGTCATTATATGAAGAAATGGAAGAAATGGATAAACAGCAAGAATCAACTATTCAATCTATAAATTTGAAAATAAAATTCAAAAATTTCTTTAAATCAAGTTCTACAAAAAACAAGGATAAGCAAATAATTAAAAATACTCGATCCAGCAAAAACAAAAGCAAAATTTATAAAATTCAAACCAGCAAAGTATATACATTCAATTTTCCATTCAACCTAAGAATGCAACTGATGGTAAATATTTACAATTTTATCTTTTTTTTTTATGATTTTATTTTATATTTTATTAATAATTTTTTATTAATATTTCATATTTATAGAAGAACAAGGTAATTCACTCAATCTTTATGCTTAATGAAAACTCTATTGTAATACATATTAAAATAATATAAACATGTTTTTACATTCAGCATTTGATTCTGATCAATTTTGTTTTGAAATTTCTGAAGGTAAAATTATTTTCATTTGTTTAATGAATTATATGATATATACGATATTTATTTATTTATGAAATTTAATTAAATTATTTTATGATGTAATTATAGAAATGGAACAACAGTATCTTAAAAGTATTGGAACGAATAATTTCAATAAATCGTATGGTAATTAAAATTTATTATTTTTTTTTTATATTTGTTTTAGCAGATGAAGAATGTGGGATTGCTGGTCCTTCGAATTCAGGCTCACAATTTCAAGATTAAAGAAATATTGATTTTTATTATTGTATTTTGTTATCAATTATTTTATTAAATTTATTTATATTTTTAAAAAATATGAAAAACAAGAAAATGAGAATAATATTTTTTAATTTATAAAAAAATCGAATCAGATTTAAAAATCAACTTTTTTTGAGATATATGTAGGTTAATATTTGATAATTCTTTTCACATTTTCATGTAATATGTATTTTACTTTTATTTTACTTTAATTCTGAATTAAATTTAAGATAATTATCTTTAATTAATTTGATTTTTATTCCGTAAATTCGTTATAAAATAAATATTTTAATATTTTACATTAAAACCTTGCTCTTTAACAATTATTTCTTTTGCGTCCCGTACAAAAATTATACACTATTATTACACTTCATAACCCACACGATTGATGTAACATATCGTTAGTAAATAATTAAACACACTTTAAATAATAAACATTATCCGTTATTCATTTTTTTTTATTAAATTAAAAACAATAAATTACATATGAATTATTCATTGAAATTTAAATGAGGAAATCGTTACTCAAAAATTGTTTGAAAAAATTGTTTGAAATGAGTAATTGAAAAGAGTTTGGGATAAACTAGATACAAATATTCATAAAACAATTACTGAAAGAGAAGAATATCGAAAAAATATGATTAAAAATGATCCACCGAAAATGAAAAAAAAAGAAATTGTATTTAATGAAACACGGAGAGCATATTAATATGATATACTGTATGTGGTAGGAATTAATCAAAATTCTGTAGATACAACAAGGTAAAATAATTTTGAACATCTGAAATGATGAAACGATATGGATTAGATCAATTTAACAAGATTAAATAATTCAAATAGAAATTATGTACATCGGTTTCAAGAATTGTTATTTTTATTAATTACATACATTTATTAGGTGACATTTAGTTAACATGCTTTGGGTTAACTTAAGATTCAATTACACGTTAATTTTGTGGTCTTATAACAATGATTTAAGGAATTTTTTAAAAGATAATTATCTCTCCCTTATGCCATAGAGATTTGCACTCAGGAAATATAATGCACCTACTTCACGATGGTTTGTTAGTGATTTAGGATTGAATAGGAATAACACCTGAAATTTTTTTTTTGAAAAAAAAATATATATATATATATATACAATTAGATCGGATATATAGTTTAGGTATTATAATGTCAGAGATTTGGTTCTAATAATTAATGCATATTGAGATCTAATTTTAAAAATAATGAAAATTATTAATAATGAAGAAATATTTGGTCAAGTTGTTTAAAATCAAATTTTGCCCAATCAAATCAAAAATTACAAGAATATATATTTAATTTTTCATTTAAACCTAGAAATGCCACTGAAGGTAGTATATTTTCAAATTTTATTTTCGAATGATTTTATATATATTTTTTTTTCATCTTTATTGAAGAACAAGAAGGTAATATTTTTTTATTACACAAAAAAAAATGTCACGAAAGTCACATGCAACAATAAAATAAATACACAATGATATTTGTAATTCTATTCCCAAATAGATAATGAATCCGATGACGACATAAAATCTATTTATTACTTTTGGTAAATATAGTTACGACGCCATTTGTGTACTAGTTGTTTATTAGTTGATCAGTTGAGAAGAGTAATTTTTTCAGCGATAACACAAATATCTTATTTGGTTTCAGATTATGCGTCGAATGTTCGCGCGTTATTGTTATATTATATTTACCCTACAAAAATAATAATTCAACTAAAATATCGATTATAAAATTAAAAGCCATGATTTCTATAACTTTTTTTATTTGCTTGCTGATAATTAATTGGTCTGAATTCTAGAAATTTTTTGCCATATTTATCATCATTTTCTTCATTTCCTTCATTAGTATTAATAAATAATTTAAATAATTTTTATATCTCATTGGACTATTTTCTTTCAAAATAAGAAAATCTTTTTTTTCTATCTATTTTCAAGGTAAGGTAGTACATTTCCTTTTGCCCCCAGAAAAATTTTCTCATTACAAAAAAAAAATTATTTAAAAATATCTCATTGTAATATGAACTTATTTGTAATAATCAGGTTTACTTTTTTAATTGTGTGACGAGGTCAATCAAAAAAGCAAAAACACTGATTCTATAATAGTTCATTATAATAATTAATGAAATTAATATAAATTACTCAAAATTTTTTAAGCAGCAAAAACTTTAAGCAGTAGCATTCGTTTAATTAATTTTTTTTAAAAAAATTAATTATGTATGAACCAAATAATAAACATTATAAAGCCGGTTATAACTTGGGATTTAATTCTATTGGAAACAATGGCTCTTCGCAAGAAGTCCCTCCCTTACCTTTGCCAAGTAAGAATTCGAAACGTGGTAGAAAGATAATTTCAGCTCTCTTACTTGAAGGTGAAGCTGTGAAATCAAATACACAATTTAATTCTAATGTTTTTTCAGACAATGATTTAAAAAAAAATAAACCCAAGGCAGTACCCGAAAAAAATACGATTGAAAATGTAAGAATTAAATTTTTAATTCAATTTTTTTTAAAAAAAAAAAAATTTTTTTAGATTAAAAAATTTTTAATTAATCTATAATAATTTTTAATTCATTATAATTGGATAATATAAGCCACCTGTTACGTCACCACAAGCCTTGCAACGTAGTCATACAACTGTTAAATATCAAGTTCGTGAAATTCCATCAGTAAATATCGGCGAATTCGAAGGCAAACTTTTAGGTTCTCCAAATGATGGTGTAGCAGAAGAATTCAATTGTGCTGCAATGTTTGATAAACAATATCTAATCCTTGGAAATAATTATGGTTTATATGTAATGGATTTTTCGGTTCGTTACGACATGATGAAACCAATACCATTATTACGTGGAAGTTCATTCAAGAAATTACAAATCCTTGATGATTATGGTGTCATGATTGCCATTGCGGGAAAGAAACAAATGATACGAGTGTATCGATTGGATTCATTATTACACTTGATTAAATTCGTAATTAAATCTAAATCTGGAACAATTGTGGATTTTTCGAAAGCACCACCTTTTCTAAAAAAATTTAAAGATACATTACAAAGATGTGAAAAGTGTGGTCAACAGATAGATGAAATTCGAGATAAAAAATCTAATTCTGATAATTACAATTCAATTTGTTCAAATTGTAAATTCTTATCTGAACCTTCAGATTCTTTGACCACGTCTCCAAATGACTCTCCAACTACTGGAAAATTTCATCAACGAACTATATCAAATATATCTTCTTATATTCAAAATCGTTTAAACGTTTCACTTGATAATATGGATATTGGTACAGAAGAAAAATCCACTGTCTGGGGTTGGGCAACAGATTATGTAAAATTGGCAGAATATGGCAAGGATTGTGTGACCTTCGATATTAAAGAAACCAAGAATTACGTTTATTTAACGATAGCTAACGTTAATCATGCAATTGCTGTATATTCTTGTCCTGTGGAATTTAGACATAAATCAGATTTTAAATTTGAATTTGTACAAGCATATTTTATTCCGGAAACACCAAAATTTATTAATGTAGTTACGGATTCTTTTATTATCAAACAAATTATTATTGGATTGGAAACCAGTAAAGTAGTAGTTATGGATTGTCATTCTAACGCCGTGACAGAACCTAATTTTAGAAAAATTTTACTTCCTCGTGATGAAGAACCATGTTTTGTGGGTTTTACACAAATTCCACTTTCATGTTCTTTTGATTTCCTTTTCGAAAATCCTTTTAAACAAGAACCTCGAAATATTATTCCCTTAACATCTACACAAAATACATTAATAACACCCAAATCATCACCACCTGATATCTCAAATGCTTCCGTTACTCACTCTCAATTAACTCACGACTTATCTTCGGCCAATAGTTTATTAAAAAGATCAACAAACAATAGATCACGTAGAATTGGATCCCATTCGGGGGATTTTGATGTATCCGATTCATTCGAAAAAAGGAAGTCACGTCGTCGTTCAGCAGGTTTGCGACTTGAATCCAAATCAGAAGTTGTAGGTGATCCAATGTCACCACCTCTTTCACCAGATGCAACTTCAGATACGTCATCAATCATGACTAACCTTCTTTCACATACGGACTCTTTTGATACCACTATTTCAACAAAGAATAATAATGTGAATGGTAATTCATTAATAGAAAAACCATTACCAGGACAAGTATTCGTTTGTACAATTTCCAACATTTCACATATTGTAAACATTAACGGGGAACCCTATAACAATTGTAATTCAATTCGTTGGTCATCCATACCTGATCATGTTTCACTTTTACCAACATTTAATGATATCTTCGTTATAGCATTTGAAAAGCAATTGGTTGAAGTGGGTTCAATGAAAACTGGTAGAATCGTTAAAACCGTAGTAAACGGGGCACGCGTTAAATATTTAGGTGAATCTTTGAAAAGATCAGTCCCTCCTAAAGGACAATTACAATTTCAAAATGAACCAAAGAAAGATCAATTTGATAATGGAATAAGAAGACACGTGTTTTGGAGTTGCGATTTGAATGATACATATATTTATCGTGGAGGAGTATTTATTTAAAATCATTAATTATATAAAATTAAAAAAAACAAAATTTTTTTTGTTTGTTTTTTTTAGAAATCATGTTTGTATTGTAAATTTTTAAATCATGTATAATTATTTTTATTTAATATCTGTTTTATTTTTGTTTGTTTTTTTTTTGTATAATAAAAATCTTATTGCACCATAGACCAAATTAATATTTTAATATTTTTGTAATATTAGTATGTTATTTGTTATTATCAATATTATCAAGAAATAAATAAATTAAGTAACACTGACTGAACTGACTGTATTACTTATCACATGCAGGGTTGGGAAAAATAGGTTAGTACAACAATTAATAAAATTTAATACAATATCAATTCTATCTACGTAACACATACAAATTTCCCAACCCCGCGTGCATGCATGAAATATTTATTTCCAACACTTGGTGTCTAAGACTAATACGGAAAAAATTCTATATATTTTTCCTTTTATAAATATTATTTCACCAATTTTTTGTCCTCAACAATCTCCATTATCATATTTATCTCAAAAATTATTCCATCTTCTTAAATTAAAATAAGATGAATATCTAATATACAATATTTATCAAAAGGTGGATCTGTCGCAGTATATAAGCAATGGAAAAACTTTTCATACAGGAAGACAAAGGAGATAGCAGTAAAGAAATTAAAAGATTCACGAAGTATTAGTAAAGATTTTATTAATTAGGAGGTAAATATTTTATATAATTATATAATGATATTATTTCGTATGACTTATTACACTTATTATATTATTATAATCTTGGCAATGAGATGAATTATACTATTATTAAAATTTTATCATATAATTCAAGATCCCTCACAACGAAAGAATATGAATTATTGTTATAATGGAGATTGGAAATATATCATTAAACAATAAAAATAGATCATTATTTTGGAAAAATAGAATAATTTTGTAATAAATATATGTGTATTATCTTTTTTGAAAAATGATACCATCACATTTAAAAGTAGCAGATTGTCAGATGAAATTTATGGAATTATTCCATATATATGGCATCTAAACCGAAGTATTAAGCGAACAATCATTTTACTCCAGCATCTGATATGTTTACAGTTTTGGAATGATTTGAATTAACATCAAGAGAAATTCCATTCAGCGTTCACATGATGATGAACATTTGATTACGGATAGTTTTTGTAATGGTCTTCGTCCAGAAATCGTAAAAGGAACCCAGAAATTTTATGTCAAAATTCTCTTGGCAAAATGATTCATCTAAAAAGACTACCAAGTAATGTATTATTATTAATGAGTTATTTCGTTTTATAATGAGTAATCATGATCCAGAATATTGTAAAAATATCAAAAGGCTGACTATTATCAACGCAATATCCTGGTGCATATTATGTAAGCAGATCACCAAATAATTATATTAAATGGTAAGTAAATATCAATTGAAAATTTATTAAATTTAGTTTAGTAAAAGCTGTAAAAGTTAAATGGGTGAATATCTATTTTTATTATTATTTATATATATGGATCACTGAAATTATAAAAGGTTTATAACAAATTACGTAATAATGATGATAAACAAATTTTCGAAAAAAGAATATTAGTTTATTATTAATTTTTATTTTCAAATTACAAATTTGATTTCTTTAATAATCGCTTTGGCTAATAATGGAGGTACGGAATTACCGACTATAAAAAAGAGAAATTTTTTAAATTAAGAAATTTATGTCTTTAAATTTTACAATAGTTAAATTAGATTTTTTTTTTTTTCAGTACCTTGTCTATATTGTGATGCAAGAGTACCCTTAAATTCATAAGTATCAGGGAAACTTTGCAATCTTGCTGATTCTCTCGGTGATATATATCTGAATATTGTCGGATGAATATTATGCCAACCCGGATTAATTGTGCACAATACAGTTGAAGGAATTTGATTTGGTTTGAGACGGAGTAAATGATAAGGAACGGTTTTAATGTAATCCATATTAGGAGTTGCAGTATTTAATCCTAAAGTGAACCAAATACGAAATGAAAAAAAAAAAATTAATTAATTAAATTTTTTAAAAAAAAAATATAATGGAAAAAAAAAAAATACCTCGAAATGCCACATCGACTGTTGGTGTAGGTAAAAGGCCCATTTCGCGATAATTCGCTCGAGCCTGATCAGATACTTCGCTATTGATATAATGTGTCGGTTCCGGCCAACATGGAAAATTTGATTCGGTAGGCACAGCCAACATTATAAAACGTTCTCGACGTTGACATACGCCAAAATCCGTGGCTTTTAAAATTTTGGTTTTGATTTTGTATCTTTATTTAACACAAACAAAAATTACGTAATCTATATTATATTATGTACAGTAAATATTCAGAATTATATAAAAAGATTTATAGAATAATTCGTAAACTTACCCAATATCTAATAAATCATTTACAAATAATTTATAGATTTCTTCACTCTTTTTCCGATTAAAAAATCCTTTTACATTCTCAAATACTAATACTTTCGGTCTAAGAATATCCAATGCTTGAGGGATATTCATTACCAAGATCATATTAGTTGTCATATCAATAATGTTTCCACGAGTATTTGCACCAGTAAAACCTTGACAAGGAGGAGCTGCTAATAAGACATCAACATGAGAAACATTTCTAATTTTTTTATTCATAAATTCATTAATTTCCATATTATAAACTGTCGTGTTGTGATGATTATATAAAAATGTTTCGATCGACGAATCATCTTTATCGATTCCCCATTTTACACGAAATCCCGCTTGTCTTGCACCTTCGCTAAATCCACCAGCTCCACAAAACATATCAGCAATAGTTGGTAGCTTTTTTTGAGTAAATAGAATAAAAATTATAATAAATTAATATAATAAAATTAAATATAATAAATAATTAATTAAATATAACATTTAGAAAAATATAATTACGTTATTATTTCCCCTCGTGAAATTCATGATATTTATAGTAATGGAAATTTTTAAATATTTATAAATCGACAAAATATTTATCGCATTTTAATAAAATGAAGAATCAATTTCTTTACAAGGTAAAGGTATCAATCATAATTTAAAAATATTAATTATAATTAAAAGTAATATTCCTGCATTAAACATTTAAAATTAACCCTTATTATAATCAATTACCATTATTAGGAGTATAAATTAGTATAAATTCTATTTTAAAATATTGACATCATAATTATGTATTTTAACATTTTCTTTACGTAATTGACGAAAAAAATATAAGTTTATATAAGAATGAAGTAAAAATTATTTCATTTTTTATGATTTATGATAATTTATCAAAGTTTTTTTTTTTATAACTAAAATTCTGAATTTTTAAAAATAAATTTATTAATAAAAAAAAAATCCTTTTTTTCTTGCAATAAGATTTTCTTTCCGTTTCATTTACAAAAATGAAGATTACCAGAAAACAATTCGTTTTATTTGCTCTTTTTTTCTTACTACTAGTTGCTGTTAAGATAGAAGGCCAAGCTCCAAGTAATATATTTTACAATATTGTTTGCTGTTAATAAATTTATTGTTATCGACTCAATACATATATATATATATATAGCAACGACTACTATATCTGAAACGCTTACTACATCTGAAACGACCGCGACAATATCTCAATCGACTATTACATCAACATCAACTTCTACAGCTTTATCTGAATCGACCACTATCCTTACCCCAACTACCCCAACTTCAGAGAGACCAACTAGTGGAAGTCCAACTACAACTACTACTAGAACTAGTGGTTCAGCTACAACTACATCTTCAACCACCACAACTGGTGAACAAACATCTACATCTACAACTTCTAGTGCATCGACATTGGTGACACATGGATTTCAAGCATTTATGGGTGTTGCTTGTGTAGCTGCTATTTTCATGTTTCTAGTTTGAAAATAGGATTGAATTTTCGTTTTTATTTTATTTTAATTGAATATGTTGGAATAATAATCACTTTTATTTTTACAATATTGTATACTATATCGTTGACTCATTAATACTATAATTTTATAATTTCAGTCATAAACTTTCCTTTGAATAAATATATTTTTTTTAATAATCAACTTTTTCGATATTATCAATTAAAATATTAATTTAATCTAACATTTATATACAATCTATCTTTTTTCTTCGTGACGTACTCGATTCTAATGCTGCTTTGAAAAGAATCCCTGTCATATTAAATTTATTCAGCAATGGAATATTGAGGCAATATCACCAAATTGAGAAGCCGCCTTTTCAAAAATTAAATACGTATTTCTGTTGTTGATGTCGTCAAATAATTTATAAAATGGAGCTCCAAATGGAATTGTGCAATTTCATTTCCACAAACAGGAAAACTTAAGAAAATTTTTGTTACTATTATTAGGACCTGAATATGTAATATAAAGATTGTAACCTTCATACGAAGGAAATAGTAATTTTCCGGAAAGGTTACAATATTCCTGGTAAAATATTTGAAAATGGTTGATTAAAATAATGGTCGAAAATAGTCGAACCAAGATTAAAAGATATAGAATCAATCATGGCAAAAGTTTTAAATAATTTTATGTTTTTTTTTATTATTTTTACAATTTTTTCGATCAATTCCTCAATTTATTATTTTGCGAATAAAATGTGATAGTTCTGTTTTTTTTAAAAAAAAAACTATCAGATGCTTTTAATTAGTGTTATTATTAAAAATAAATAGACATCCACCTTCATATTCAAAACTCTTCCTTCAATACAATGCACAGCTATGATATTTTGCACAAAAATTATTTCATCGTATTGTTTATCATCATCGCCAAATTTTTTGCTCATCCACAGATCTGGGTTGGATTTGAAATCGAGCACAACTTTACGAACCGTCCCATGTGATCAATTGCGAAACGAAATTTTGTATAAATAAAGTTCTTTCAAGAATAAAAAATTTTGATCCATTCTTAAATACTTGATAAAAATATCACAAACAAATTCCATTTATAAAAAATAAAAATAAATAAAGTAAAAATAAAAATAAAAAATAAAAATAAAAAAATAAAAATAAATAAAAAGAATGCAATGTAATAGAAATAGCAAATAAAAATTTTAATTTAGAAATATAATATAATAGTAATCTTAATCCAAAAAAACGCATAGAAATATATTTCAAAAGTGGAAAATAGAATTTGGAATTGGGATTAATAGTATCTTTACGTGTTAAAGAAAATTGGATAGAGACAAAATTAGTTTAGAAAATGACAATACAAATAAATGATGGATAACAAAAAAAAATTTAAATTTAAATTTGAAATAATTAACTTGAAAGAAAAAATAAATATCTTGAATTTTCTTAAAAATCTATAGAATTAATCCAAAAGAATACATCCTAATAAATAAAAAAAAATAATGAATTAGAATAGAATAATACTAGTGTGCCGTGCAAAGGCAGACAATAATTCCAGACCACCTTAATCATGAGAAATATTCTCAGAAATAAAAAAAATAAAAAAAAACCTGTAAGTATATAGATGTAAAATAAATTAATTGACCATCTAGAATGAAAAATATTCTCAGAAATCAAAAAAAAAAGAACATGTTATAATTATGAATCTCCATTAAAAAAACATAGAAATAAATTTGTAAGTATATAGATGTAAAAATAAATTAATTAAAGAAAGAAAATATTGATAATTTAGAATAAAGTGATAGTAGAAATAATAGTGATTTTATTAGAGAAATCCGAGAAGAATATAAAATTATTGTCTTTCAATCAAAATTATTTATTTTAATAAATTTCATTACAAATAATAATAAAAAAATTAGCAATAACAAAAGCGAAAGAACTCAAGAAAAAATATATATTCAAATTCCTAGTCTTCTTGGCAAAAAAAAAGAGTCATTGCATCATATAGTGCAGCAACTTATAATATTATGTTATTCCTAAAAGAGTGATATATTAATAACAAAATTCATTTAATACTTATACATTACACTTATTTTTCATTAAAAATATTTTGAAATCAAATTTAGAAGATATACAATTTATTCCTATAATCAAAATATCATTATACAAGAAAACACTATATCTCTTCTATTCAGTTATTTTAAATCATGGAGAGTACAAAATTATACTTAGAATAAAAAATATATTTAATAATTTATTCTAATATTTATTGATTGAGGGGTTGAACAAAATATCCTCATCATTAAAATATATTACAAATATTGCATAGCATAAAATAAAAAATAATATTAGATGTCAAGGAAATTGAATTGAAAAAAAAAAGATAATTATAAAAATAATGTAAGAGAAGAGATAGATTCTTCTCTTTTTTTAATTAAAACAAATAGGAGGTACTTGAGATTCTTCTTTAGGTAAAAACGCCAATACTTTATAAATATTACCCATGGATAATGGATCTATCAATCTTATAACTGAAGAAATTAATGATTCATGTCTGTCCGGAGAAGTACTTTTTAATAATACTTCCAATCGAATTTTTATTCCAATTGTTTGTAAAAATTTTGATTGCGTTATTGGTCCATACGTATTCACTAAATGTATATATATTATTATTATCATTATATTATGCACATCACAGAAAGATAGATATTAGTAAAAATATTATTGATAGTTTAAATGATTTTTTTTTTGACTTACCTAGATTTTTAGCTGATTCTTTAAGATATTGAAAGTTTACATTTGCACTTAAGTCAGCTTGACCTGGTAAACTTAGAGGATGAACAAATTTATGTTGTTTAATTGCCTAAAAATAATAATAAATTATTAATAAAGAATAAAACTAAATATAATTATTTTCTAATAATATTTGACTTACCCTTAAAGTGTTACCTTGAATAAAATCTTTGCCATAATCTATAATAAGTGAAGCACCCTTGTTATTGTGAATATGTTTAGCAATTTGAGTAGAAATTTTTTCTGATTCAAAAGATATTTCTATTTTGTCACCAATGTTAAATTTATTATTATTATTGCTACTATCAATAAATTTTTTAAGCAAAGATGATATAGAGGAAGAAGAAGTTGTTGTTGTTGTATTTATTGGTTCTGAAGATAATTTAAATTGAAAATGATAAGGACTAATAGAATAATATAAATTAATATAATTTTATTTCTTTTTTTTTTGCAAATTCATTAATATTAAATAAAAATTTTCTTTACCTTAGTTCGGAATCATCTATGTCAACCAATATTTCACGCCATCCATTTTCTGTCAACTATATATGTGATTATATTTTAATAAAATATTTAAAAAATGATGAAATAATAAAATCAAATCAAATAAAAATTATCTTGCCTTAAATTGATGAATTGGTAATGCATCAAAAAGTTCATGAGAAATAATCATAGACCATATTTCTAAACATTTTAACAATTATTATTATTTTATTATTAAATATTGTGAATATAAAAATTAATAGATTATGAAATTAATTGAATTGAATTAATAAATTAATAAATAAAATAATATTATTACCAGGAATTTCTTCAATAGAATTATGCCAGAAAAATTTCAATCCATCGATTCTATGACATGAATTACCTTCTGCTATATTATTTCCACATAATTTTAGTCGTTGTATTTTACGTAATTCCGGACTTACTTCTATTAAATGTATTCCATCTATTAATCTATAGCAATCTTTAAAATTCGATAATGTCTACTTTTCAAAATAATAATAATAATTATAATAATAATAATATAATTATTATATTATTATTATAAAATATTTATTATTATTATAAATAATTATTGTTATTATAAAAATTATTATTTTTATTTTAATTACACGAAGTACATCATCCATTAATGTTCCTCTTCCCGGTCCTAATTCGACTATTTGAAATTCGTTAGGTTTTCCTTGAGCATTCCATTGTGTTAAAAACCATATCCCAATAAGCTATTAAATAATTAAGAAATTTAAATAAAAAATATATATATATATATTATATAATAATAAATTTGTATAGAGATTATTTTTAAGTTATTTTTTTTTTTTGAAATTTTTACCTCGCCAAATGTCTGACTTATTTCAGGAGAAGTAATAAAATCACCTTTTCTTCCAAATACATCACCTTTCATATAATATCCACTCTTAGGATTAGTTAAAACTTCTCGCATATATTGGGCAATTGATATTGGTCCATTATTCTAAAGAAAAAATTATGATCAATTTTTTTTTTTTTTGAAAAATTGGTTTTTTTTTAAAAAAAAAAAATACCTTTATGTATTCTTTAAGATATTTTGCTGTTGGTGTTAATTCTTCCTTTTTCATTTTTTCCATTGTAGAATAATTATATTTGGAAATTTGAGGTCGAATATGTAATAAATTTAATAATTGTTTTTTCTGCTGCAGTCTCCAAAATTTGAGTTTCATTTTTTTACAGATCAATCTCAAACTGTACTGATATTTTTCCGCCACTTTACGGTCTAGGATTTTTGCCAAATTTAATTTCGTGTAACGGACGAATTTCTATAAATATATGTACCAATAACACGATTAAAAATAATGAAAGTTAATAATTTTTATAATCTTATTTTTTTATAATGACTAAAAAAACCAATTAGCCCGTGTCTATTTGAAAGTCTTATAATCATGTAGAATTATCTATATGTGAAACTAAACAAAATCAACGAGTAAGACATGCATCAGGAAAAGCGGTTATAACAAAATTGAAATCATTTGTTTATCACTTTCCTGAACTTAATTTTCTTCAAAATCAATTAAACGAATTTTCTATTTGTGAAAAACATTATAATCAAGTAATAGCGAAAGATATTCTTCTAAAACAATTGAATGATTCTAATCATTATTAATCTGATAATAATGATAATAATCGTGATGAAGTAACATAAGATATGATACGAATTGATAAACTTCAAGAAGAATTGAATAGAGTCTGAATACTTTATCTACGTTGCAAATTGAAATTTAGAAGCAAAAGTTGACCATTTAGTTGAAAATCTCGATAAATCTTATGATTTTTTAATAGATAGTTGAAATAAATTGAAAAAAAATGAAAAAAAACAATTCAAGACATGAAAAAAGAAATAATAAATTTTTTTTTGGAATATCAATATTTAAAGGATCACTGGAAAAATCGATTTTTGACGCAAGAGAAACGCATCACGGCAATTAAAAAGATTACTAAAAAAAGAAAGAGATAATATATTTGCCGACATTCAAAATTTAAGATCAATCACGATTTTCCCTAGATAATTTTCTTACCTAATAGGTTACCTAATCGAAATCATGTTACTGTACAATTTATTCAAACATTAACTCATAATACGAATGAAGAAGAAATATTGATGGAGGAAAAACTTTTTTAATAAGCTGTAGCAGTCGAAGCAATATATGGATCTCATTATTCAAAATACGTTTCAGCAATCAATTTAGCTGCTGTTACAACTAAATATTCTATATTTAGATCAAAAACTATAATTGATATTGGATCAGAATATTATACAAAGTTTATTAGTTGGCTTGAAGGTTTAGCATCTGAGCAATCATCACTTCCATCATGTTTATTGTTTTTTGCATTTGACAATTAACAAAAAGGAATTATTTGGATCGTGGTACAATACAGTAGTATTTCATACTGAAATAGTTTTATTGCATTTAATTATGATATTAATAACAGTATTCAAGCTACTATAGATCCATGGTTATATCCCAAGCCTACACTATTACAATAAGAAGGGTTATACGATTTAGCATTTTATATTAAAAAAGAAATTCAGATAGAATTGGTTAATTATCTTTCTATTATTTTAAAAGAACTTTGTTCAGAAAAGAGGCGGGAAACAAATAGTATAGATAAGATGGTACTTCAGAAAAAAGATCAAATAAGATTTATAAAATCATATCAATTTCAAATATTGACAATAGAAAACGGGTATGTCCAAAATGTAACACTAAATTTCCAACCATATCTGAGATTAATCAGCAGCATCAGAATTCGTCTCACATTTTATCAGACGTTACAAGTATTATAAATGAAAATTAAAACCATTAGTTTGCGAAATTATACTTTTAATAAATAAATTAAATCAATGCGTACTAGCATCACTCAAAAAACAAATTTACAAAGTGGAGTTCAAATATCACAATTATATGTTCCGATCCTTTAGGAGTTAATCCTAATTCAATTTCCAATTTTTGTACAGTTTTTAAACATATAGAAGAAATAGCTGGTATAAATTATTATGCAAAAGAAAATGAAAAAGAAGTTTCCATGGTAATATTAATTCCAGAATCGCTCCACGAGGAAGTGAACATGCTAAAAGCCTTTGCTGAACTGAATTGTTAAATATATACAGTATTATTATTATTTTTATTAGTATATTTTTTAATATTTTATTTTTATTCTTTTATATCTTGGGAATATTGATACATATAAAAATATTTGCACGATATCAAGAATACCGAACCGAAAAATCAAAATCGCTTTTTTTTAAAAATGTGATGACCATCATAAATCATGGGATTTAATTTGCGACACATACCAACATGCAATGGCTTGTGAATTAATGTGGCCATGTATTATTTAACATGGGTGCAAAATCAAAAGATGCAACTTTCAATTAAAATATGAACAAGCAATATTTTATATTTTTTTTTATTTAATAGGAATTTTTTTTAATATTTAAAAATTTCTATTTTTAGATTTTGTATTATTACAAGCAATTATTAATTTTCGTACAGGCAGACCTTTATTAAAAATAGTAGCCAGAAGAATGTTTGCTCCTATTTGGTCCGCACGACGACATCCTATTTATAGATTAATAGAAATTACTGATGAGGAAATATTATAATTGTATCCAGAAGTCCTGTAATAATTGAACAAAATCAGTTGTATCCCGATCAGGACTTATAAATCAACATCAAGTTTGGATGTAATACTTGAAAAAAATTAATAAAACAATAAATCATTAATCCCTCTAATTCCTACACAACGGCATTGGAAATTGCAGCACGTAATTGTACTAAGTTTATGAAGGTAATTATTCAATTATTTTTATTTCTGTAAACAATACATAATTATTTTATTTATTTATTTTTATTTATAGTTACGTTCAGAATTTTTTGAAACAAACAATTGGATATTCAAACAATGAGAGCTATGGACTTCGCACACGTCCTGATTTTACTACAGAATCATTTCGATTTAGAGTTCAAATTAGAAAAACAAAGTTTTTAAATCGTAATAGAATTGATAGTTATTTCAAAGTATGAATGGAGAATATATTTTAAGTGAAGAAATCTAAATTTTCATCAATTCTGTAATTTATCATATACTTTCTGCAATTTATAAAGTAAAAATTTCTTTTTATGTGAGAGATGAATCATTTTAATCATGATTTTTGACATCATTCTTTCCGAGTAATTGTTTTATGAATATTAAAATCTAAATAATAATTTATTTTATCTCAAACATTGTTTAATTTATCATTCCAAACAATTTTTTTTTGAGTAGTCATTTCCTGTTTCCTTCAAATTTAATATAATTTTTTATTTGAGAATTTAATTGTAAATAAGAATATAATATAAATTACCGTGGTTGAGTTTTAATTATTTATTAGTTATTCGAGTATATTCACAATAATAGCAAAGAGTAAGATTTTAATATAAAATATTATTAAAATATTTATTTTAAACTGGATTTACGGAATAAAATTAAGAAAATTATTGCATGACCCAAATTATTTTTGTGGCTTCCGAATCAGCTTTGTCACACTAACCAATTAAATTTAAAATGAGATAATGTTGTAATTGCTTCAAGGTAAAATAAAAGAAATACATTTCATGAAATGAAGAAGGTAAAGAGAAAATTCGAGTATTATCAAATGTTTAACTTAAGATCATCTAGAAATCTAGCATTTGTATTGACATTTATATGTATCACAGAAAGTTAAGAAACAAATGGATCAAATTTATCTGAAATAGTTTGGATGATATTATAAATCTAATAGCTAAATTATTTTACTTTCGAAATAATTTTTAATTTCAAAAATTTAATATTGTCTGATTTTTATCTTTAAAAATTAAAATAAGCAAGCAAAAGAATATAATTAATTTTATTTCTTAGCTCATGTGATTATCTGAAAAATTTATGATGAAAAAATAATATAAAAAAATGAGAATAATAAAATACAAAGTTTAATAATATAAGCTTTTCTTTAATCCTGAAATTGTGAGTCTGAATTCGAAGGACCAGCAATCCCACATTCTTCATCGGAAAAATAAATAAATAAATAAATAAATTTTAAAATAATATAATGACGTAATGCAAAATAATGAAATAATATTAATTACCACACGATTTACTGAAATTATCCTTTCCAATACTTTTAAGATATTGTCGTTCTATTTCTATAATTGTGTCATAAAATAAATTAATTAAATTTCATAAATAAATAAATAAATATCGTATATATCATATAATAATTTTACCTTCAGTAATTTCAAAATCAAATTGACCAGAATCAAATGCTAAATGTAGAAACATATATATCATTTTAATATATATTAATATGGATTACGATGGAGTTTTCATTAAGCATATAGCTTGAACGACTTACCTTGTTGTGTTACTATAAAGATAAAAAAATTAATTAAAAATAATTAATGAAATATGAAATAAAATCATTAACAAAGGATAGAATTTTTAAAATATATTTACTATCAGTGGCATTCCTAGGTTGAATGGAAAAATTGAATGTATATACTCTACTAGTTTGAAATTTATAAATTTTGCTTCTTTGATTTTCGTTGGATTGAGCATTTTTAATTATTTGCCTATCATTATTTTTTGTAGAACTTGATTTAAAGAAATTTGTGATTATTGTTTTCAAATTTATAGATTGAATAGCTGGTCCTTGCTGTTTATTCATTTCTCCATATTTAGATTGAATAGTTGGCTCTTGTTGTTTATCCATTTCTTCATACAATGACTTTATTATTAATCTAATTTTTTCATTAAGTGTAGTTGCATCAGGTCTATTATCAGGATTAGCATCCCAACATTGTTTCATCAAAAGTGCATATTCTAGTGGAATATTTTCATAGATCTTTGGTCGATATCCATAGGCTATAGCAAAAGCTAAATCTGAATTATGTACATGGTCTTCATAGGGAGTTTCACCAGTTATTATTTCCCACATTAAAATACCAATACTATATATATCTGATTTTGTTGTATAAATTTGGCCACAATAAACTTCAGGTGCAACATATGGGAGATTCCCATATATACTATTTAATGGTTTGTCAACTGGTCCACTCAACCCTAAATCACTAATAAACCATCGTGAAGTATCTGCTCCATATAAAATATTTCCTGAGTGCAAATCTCTATGTACTATATTTTGCTCATGAATTTTTTTTAAACTACTTGTTATCTTGTAAATCATTCGATATTTTTTTAATAATGTAAGTGAGTGAAAATTATCTTTTAAAAAGTATCTTAAATCATTATCATAATAACCCAAAACTAACATATAATCATGGGTGTTTGGATCTTTAGTTATTCCATTACATACGGCAAGTGAATCAAAAGTATTATCAAGTGTAAAACTTAATGTCACCTAATAATTGTATACAGTTAGATAATTAATATTTCTGAAAATTAAGCAGAAATTAAAAAAAAATAATAATTAAACTTACTTCTTGAAACCAATGTACATTACTATTATTTGAATCATTTAATCTTTTCAGAATAACCTTTTGTCTTCCAAGTCTTTCCAATATTTGTTTTTCTGAATTCCATTTATAATAGCATCCAACTTTCCATACTGCTGTATAAATGATAGCACATCCTCCTTCTGTCAGATGTTCTATATTTTCCAATTGATTATAATTAATCCATTCAATGACATATCGTGGTGAAACAGTTTTTTGTTGACATTTTTGAATTAATTTGTCAATTTCTTCATTTCCAGATGTCCAATTTCTAAAATTATTTTCCAAATATTTACGAATACAAAATTCACAATATTGAGTTGCTTGATGCCAATTTTGACAATAGTTGCATTGCTGTTTTTCTACTGAACTATCACCAATTTTATGTTTATCATACACTTTCTGCAATTCATCTAATAAAAATTTCTTTTCATTTTCTGTAAGAGATGAATCATTTCTAATTATATTTTTTCGATATAATTCTTGCTGAGTAATTGTTTTATAAATATTTAAGTCTAAAGATAAGTAAGTTTTATCCCAAAAACTTATTAGTTTCTCATTCCAACCAATTTTTTGAGTAGCCATTTCCTATTTCCTTCAAATTTAATATAGTGAAAATTTATTGTTTAATGATTTAATTGCAAAATAAAAAAAAATGACATAAAATTACCGTGGATTAGATTTTTAATTATTATTAATTATTTAATTATTTGAATATATATGCAGAAAGTTAATAATAAATACGAAAATAATATTTGACAAGCATAAGATGCACATATCATTTTGTACAAAATATTTTATTCTTAAAGGGAATCAATTTAAAAATTATGGATTTCCAAAAATATTTCCTATTTATATTATTTATATGACATGTGACGATCAGAAATGAATATCTTCCCGATTTTAAAGCAATTAATAAAGATCTTAAGCATCAGTTTCTTTTGGTAAAAGCTTTCATTAATAGTGACAAGTTTATTGCCATCAATTTTCCATAACTATGAATCAAAACCCTTGTGCTGTTTTACCAAAATATCTATGTAGAATATATTATATCTGATCCGATATAAATGCGTACAGGGGTATCAGGCCACCAAAAAGTTACTAAATTTAAAATTCTAATTATGGCAAATGGGTGATCTAAATTGCACAAACTTTAGATTTCTGCTATCATATTGTGGTGACACGGAAACGTCCGTGACCACTGAAGGTGGCAAACAGAGGTGGTAGTTGTACTAAGGCAGATTATGTGCCACCACCAGGGTGAAAAACAAGGTGATTATTTATTCACCTTCGCACAACACCTTCAAGCAACAAAATATGGGTAGCAACCAGGGTAAAGGTAAACAAAAGAAAAGGTATAAAGAAAACATAGTTAGGCAGTAGAAAACAAGAGATTCCTTTTGGGCGAAAAACTCACTTTAATTAGTTTTCTTTTATTAATTTTAATTTCGGACAATTTTCTTCTCTTATTAATATTGGTAATAATAAATAATTTCGAATATTCCTTTCATTTTAATAACTCTAGTGATAAATAGATACGAATAATTTCTTCATATTAGTTAGCCCTGTAAATAAATAATTTCGTGCAGCAATAGAGATAAGATACGCAAATGCAGTAATATATCTCTATTGTTATATTTT